CTTGTTGCAGGTTCTATTTTTGGTTGAAGGTTAATCCTTGTTCAAGGTTAATACTTGATGGTTTTAGAATTTTAGTTGTGATTCCATGCTTTCTTATTGAAATGTAAAAAAAAAAGCATTTTTATTTATTAAAAAATTGAAAAATAAAATTAGAAAAAATAAGGTTAGCCCGCCACCTTGGCGGCACGAGCTAGATTTTTATGTCCATTTCAACTTGGCGAGCATGCCTACCCCGTTCTTTTTTTAGCGGGCTTTAGGCGGGGAGGGCGGTCTGTTTTTCCACCCATATCTCGTATGAGTTATGTTTTATCCAACATTCACATCTTCTTTTTTCATACCTTAAATTTGTCCTATCAATTTCAACAGTCACGTTATTATTTTTCCAAATCTTTAATTATTTTGTTCTATTTGTTTCTGAAAACTATCATACAAGGGGTTTAAAACCAATAGGGGGTGTATTGTCTTAAATGGACCATCAAAATCTGATGGCCCATTAAGACAATTTTGTTTGGCCCGATTAAATAATAATAAGGGGGGTTAAAGTCTATAAGTGGGGTGTGTTTTAATAAAAAAAGTTATTTTATCATTTGTAATCAGACTAGTCCATTAAGATATTTTTGAGGCCCATTAACCCTTTGTAAGGTTGGCTGAAGTCAATCTGATTATTATTTAGCTTTATTATTAATAACGATTTCTATTGTTATCAAATATTATTATTTTTAATATCTTTTATTATCATAATTACTATTTTGATTAATGTTGACCAAGTCAACAAGGGTCTTTGAAATCCTAATTCTCAAGATACAACAGTGGCGCCCTGTTTTGTGTTACATTAAGCAACCCAAGGGAAACAGATATTGTGTAGATCAAATCTTTCATAAAAATAAAATCAAATCAGATATTTACAAATTATTTGAATCAAATCTTAAAGATTGGATTGGAAAAACATTTTATTTTGGATTTACATAAGATAACGACTAGACACATTCAAATCTACAAACCCTAAAACAAATTATACAAAATCAAATCAAATCAAATACCTAATTGATTCAATCACTAAAATATAACGATAAATCAGAAACATCTTCTTAATCTTTCTAAATTTCTAACCTATAAATAAAACCTAAAACTAATTGAATAAAAAAATAATTGGAGGAGAGAAATTACAACAGAGAAGCAGATCTGTGAGTCAGCCATCCCCCTGAGATTCAGGTTTCAATTTTTGAAACCCTAGACCTGTGCTTCAAATTGTCGTCACGCACCATCATCTCATATACTTGTCAAACAGAAAAGAAGGAGAAAAATATTAGAAGGTAGAATTGAGAAAGAGCCAGAAGGAAATTTACAAGAAGAATCGCTGCAAGGGAGGTAACCCGATTCAATTAGCTTAAGGTGTTTTTATTTGAATTTGTACTTTATGTTTGGTTTTGGATTTCTGGATTTCTGAAGGGGTTAGGGTTCATTAAGGTTCATTAGGGATCATGTTTAGGGTTAGGGTTCATCAGATTTAGGGTTAGGGTTCATCAAGTTTTGGGTTTCTGGGTTTTGGTTTGATTAGGGTTCTTCACGAACCCTTAGGGTTCTTAGGGTTATAAGGTTTGGTAGAAGATATTCAACGATTATGGGTTTTCTCATGGCGGTGCAGATGAACATATGAAGATCCCGGTTGAGCTTTAACCAAAGATCTGGGGTGTACAGGGTTTCTTACGGTGACTAGGGGTGGAGCCACCGACGGAAGCAATTTCCGACCGGAGGAGGAGATTTCTGATCGCCTGAATTCTTGAGAGAGGTCAGAGCCTCTCTCTCTAAAATTTGTTTTAGTGAGAAGATGGACTATAGAGAGAGAAACAGAGAAGGAGAAAAATTAGAAAAATGGGATGAAGCAAAATATATAATGCTCATTGTACTTCGTAGGCGTGTTTTAACATACTCCCCAGTCAACTCTTCATTCAAACTGTTGTAAGATCATACTCTGAATCAACGTTCCAAGATCAATCTCTAGAAACCATTTGATAAAGATCATGCATCATAGATTCATCCGGTATACTATAAACCTCTGGATCGTTCACACCTTGTCCAGCAGAGCACACATTTGTTTTGGGCCTAGCCAATTACTAGTCCACCCCTAATTTACTACCTCGCTAAAAAACTTACCCCCCAGCGCTGGTGTGCCAAGTCTAACACCTGGACTTGGGCCCTTCACTTCCTGCACCTCCAATCTTTACTACCCAGCTCAAATTCACACCTCCCCTATGTTTTGGACCCAAATTGAATATCTGAATTTAGGGTCTTACTCTTCGTACCCCCTAGAATTGCTAGCCAAACTAAAAATACACCCCCTATGTAAATTAATTAAATTTTTTTTTTTACATTTTTCTTTTATTTATCAATTTATTTATATTTTCATAATTAAAATATATTTATAATAAATTAGAAAATTATTTATTTATTAATTCAAAACTTTACTTTTACTAACCCATTCAAATATATTTTTAATTACATTAAAATTATTTTCCTCATCCATTAAAAAGATTTTCCTCATATACTAATATTTAAAAAACATTTAACCAATAAAATTGCTAACAATTTTCACTAACTTAATCCAAACCTCATATTATTTTCAAAAAGGATTATGGAGATATTTCTCATTGACTGCGAACTTCATCTAATAACTCAGTGATTTACAAACCTAGACTTGGTTCAAGGAGAACTTGAAATATCTTCGTAATCCATAAAAAAACACCAACCAACTACAAACTACGAATTGAGACTCTGATTCTTCATAAGAGGATACGTAGGCATACGAATAAAATCACGGCGAGTTCGGCTAATACAGATTAAAACCCTATTTCCTGAATTATAAATCTAAACCCTGGTATCCTTGTGAACAAGGTAGATGAGGGGTGCCTAACACCTTCCCTTCATCTAAAAACGAGTCAAATAACTTAGAATCTCTGACCAAATTAGGGTTATCCTTTATATTCCCTTCCTAAAAGATAAAAATTAAGAGTGGCGACTATATAATTTTCAACCGGTTATTACAGCTGGCGACTCTGTTGGGGACTTAACCTTAGGGTTTAGAAACCTCTCTTTAGGATTTAGGTTTTTTTAGGGTTATTTATTGTTATTATTTATTTATATTTATTTATTTCTTTTGGTTTATTTATTGTCATATTTTATTTATTCATGGTAGGATTTTATTATTTAAAAAAATTATTTATAAAAAAAACTTAGAAAGAAGGTTCGTCTATTGGCCAAAGGGATACATCATCCCTATGAGTTTTTGTGACGACCTCGCCAAGAGTGGTGGAATTACAAAAAGAAATACATCTCAAGAGACATCCTCTTGGGGGGTAGGACTTTGGAAAGAAACCTATGACTTTTTGTATAACCCTTAAACTAAAAACTCATGGTGAGACCTTTCACGACCTAAAGATGAAAGTTTCAGCCTGCAAAGAGGCTCCACTAAAGGGAAGCCCTTATGCCTTTCCCTCTAGTGTTATCTATGATGCCCTTAAGAAAACCACCTTATGGGGAGGGTGTTGCAACTGGATTTTAATACAGAGTCGCCACCCTTAACTTTTATCCTAAGGAAGGGAATATAAAGGAATAACCCTAAAAAGTTCAGAGATTCTAGATTGTTGACTTGGTTCTAGACGAAGGGAAGGTGTTAGGCACCCCTCATCTACCTTGTTCACAAGGATACTAGGTTTAGAAGCACATTTTTTAGGAAAAAGGGTTTTAATAATTATTAGGGGAACTTGCCACGATTTTAATCGTATGCCTAGTATCCTCTTATGAGGAATCAGAGTCTCATTTTGTAGTTCGCGGTGTTGGTTGGTATTTTTTATAGAATTGCATAGAATTGCTTTTAAATTATCCTTGAACCTTGTCTGGGTTGTAAGTTGAGTGAGCGTAGACGCAGTTTGCAGTTAATTTAAAAGAAATTCTCCTTAATCCTTTTTCGAAAAATCTTGATTTTATTATGTTAGTGAAAAAATATTTTGAAGTTGGTTAGCTGTTTTGAGTTTTGATCGATAACGAGTATGGTAAAATATAGAGCGGGGGGAGTCTGATATAGTCTCCTCATCACGTGGCCAGATATTGTCCACGTGTTACTTGTCATGAAGGATGCAGAGAGAGTCTGATATAGTCTTCCTCGTCACGTGGCCAGATATTGGCCACATGTCACTCGCGGATGGAATATTTAGAGTTGTATGGGTTTTAATATTTTTGTAAAATACTAATTTAATTTAATTTGGAAAAATTATGATTTCCGTGTAAGTATTGAATTGTTTGATTTAATGTAATTAAAAAAAGTAACCTAATTAACAGAATTAATTTAAAATATATTATTATATTAATCATTTAAAAAAACAAATAATACTAAGAAAATTAATTAACCTAACTAAAAAATTAACTAACTTAAATAGTTAAAATAAAAACTAACTTAAATTATTAAATGAATAAATAGATGGGCTTAGGGGGGTGCATATAAAAATTGGGTGTTAGTTAGTAAAAGAATAGAGTTCAGTCAATAAGCCCAAGCTCAATGTTATTTTTAAACCCTCATTTTCTAACTATAAGTGATAATATATGAAAAAAAAGTAAAACATGGCATTTAGAATAGTAAGGAAATTAACATGGCAATTAGAACAACAAGGAAATTAGCGCTGGAGAATGAAAAGGGATAAATACATTGCATAGCCATAAATTTTTGTTTGTTTTGTCTCCAATAAGTTCATGACACGTGGAGGTACTTAATTGAAAGAAAAGAAAATAAATAATAAAACAATAACAATAGCAAGTAGAATTTGATATCAGTAAAAAAAGAAGGAAAAACCAAAACCCACGGCTTCTTCCTCTTTCTCTCACGTTCATATTCATTCTCAAGAACATCACCATCTATTTCCTTTCCAATCTCCAATCAAACCAAAATCTCTCCAACAATCATAAACACAATAACAAAAACCACTACTCAAAATGAAAAGGGGAAAATCCTACCTTAATAGAAACACTGCAGTGAGATTCACGCAACGATTTGTGGTTGCAGATGACTCGCCCGTGGCGATTGTATCGTGGTGCTGGTTGTACGGTGGAGCAGGTGTGCTTGTTGTCGACTTCACGGAGGGCTGATGAGAGCGTATTTCTTGATATGGTTCTCTGCAAACAAAAATAAATAAATTACGTACTTGTTAAGTTTGTTGTTTTCCTGTTTTATAATTTCTAATTGTACATGGTGGTTCGGTGCGAGATCGCGCAGACGACGTCGTCTGTAGTAGCGGAAGCGGGTCTATTTCCGTTGGTGGAGTGAGGATTCCAGATCTAGGAGGTTTTACACTATTGAGGAGGACGCGTTAAGAGAGAGAATGGAGATAGGAGGTACGTCGGAGCGTTATGGTGGCTAGAGCGGATCTTTGCGGCAGTACCGCAGTGTGTGCGTGGACCGGCTGGTGCAGCTTAGGTGCCATTGTGTTGCGGTTCTGATGCAATCTGAAGGAGGTCTAGGCAACATGGAGAATACGAATTGAATCGTTGGAAGGTGGTGAAGATTGATGGGGAATCTTTTGTGTTGAGAATTGAGAGGAGGAACATGTCGATTGAAACAGGGTTTGATGGCAGCTCGAAGAGAACAACTTGGTGATTTATTAGCAACAAAGGTACATGCACAACCAAATAAAAGATAGCAACAAAAATAGTCTGACTATTGATGAGATTGAGTCTTTTTACTGCGGGGCAAACTACAAAGTCACGTATGACTTGAATTCTTGTGTTTGTATTGTGAAAGAAAAGTTGTGTAAAGGTGATGTTAGAGGTGTATGGTATGGAAATCATATAGGTTAATGGTTTTGGGTTCTTTTTAGTGTCTTATGGTTGTTTTGATTTGTTCATGGTAAATGAAAGTTTGGGCAATAGGTTGAAGTTGCTCTGACAAAAAAACGTGTAAAAAGACCGTATAGATAGTATATGAGTGGGTTATGTATAAAGGTGTTCTAGATGAATAAAAAAAGTTTATGTGTGAATTTGTTTAAGAAGTGGCTCATGATTTGTAGTGTAAATGTGAATTGTTATTGTAAAAAGTTTCTAAGGCAACTTAAAAAACGTGTTATATATATATATATATATATATATATATATATATATATATATATATATATATATATATATATATATATATATATATATATATATATATATATATATATATATATATATATATATATATATATATATATATATATATATATATATATATATATATATATATATATATAAAATAAGATTTGGAATATGTGTGAATCTACGTATGAATATAAATGCTAGTGTAAAATTAACATCATATGGTAACAGGTAGTAAGCATAAAAACAATAAAACTGGAATATAATTGGGAGGCCTTATATAAAAATTCTCGGCCATTTTTTTGGTCATTGTCTGATATAGACAACAAACCTAAAATAAACCTAATAAACCAATAGAGGATTGTGGGTGAATTTGTGAATTTGTGTGAAATTATTGATTGTATGTGTGTAATTGCAAAATTGTGGATGACAATTTAGAACAAATAAGAGTCTTATTTATAGACTTAAATTAGGTTAAACAAGATTTTGAGAGTTGTCTAAAAGCCCAAAAGAAAGCCCAAAGTTTGATCTCCAAAAAAGGAAAGAAAATTAATAAAAATAAGAAAAAAAATATGTTTAAAAGCACCACACACAAGATTCAAACCCGCGATCTCATATTTACAAACTCCATTCTTTATCAATTGTGCTATGTTACTCATTTGTAAATACACCCAATTGAAAGTATATGAAATATCAAGCAAATATTAATTTATTCTAAAATACAAATGATCTGAAATAAATTATTATATTTTTAAATAGGTTTAGAAGCGAATATTTATAAAAATCAAATAATATTATAAAAATAATGTTTAAAATATTTTTTACTGTAGAAACAAAGGGCGGGAAAATTGGGGGTATGACAGTTGCCCCTATTTAATCACTCTTCGATTGAATGGTGCGAGAATGCGCAAGTCTCGTACATTTGAATCAAAGATTTATTAAATAATTGAAGACCCCAAAATTTGACCAAAGGTTGGCTAGATAAGGATACACTGATATAACATACCCCTAAGAGTTTTAAAAAAAAAAGACAAAGATGATGATGTATCACCTTACCAGAGTCTAAACCAAAGTTTCGTTTTAACTCGATTATGACAATGCGGATAACTCGTCAGTATCTAAGAGATTGTAGATTCTTTTGTATATTTATAAAAATACAAATTTTGAAAAAGTCGACTTACTAATGCTTGGAGACTAATATAGTAAGTTTTGGTTTGATTTGATTTGATTTTGTCTATTAATTGCAACCTAGGGGGTGAATAAAACAAAATATGATAATATATTGCTGCATGGAGATTGATGCAATAGATTATGCATATTTATACGCATATCTATCACAACCTAGGGAATGAATAATATGAACTGGCATTTCGCACATCTACCACAACCTAAGGGGTAGATGGTTGAAAAAGCATGATAACAACATAACTGCATGGAGACTGGCGCAATGAGCTATGACATCATTGCTTCATAGAGACTGACACAATGAGTTATATTGTAGGTTTTGCACATTGCTGCATGGAGACTGATGCAATGAGCTATAACGACATTGTTGCATAAAGGCTGACATAATGAGTTATATCGCAGATTTTGCACATTGCTGCATGGAGCCTGGCACAATGAGCTATATCGTAGAGGAAGAAACACATTGCCTCATGGAGACTAATGCAATGAGTTATATTGTAGATTTTGCACATTGCTGCATGAAGACTGGCGCAATAAACTATACCGTAAATTCGCATACCTATCACAACCTAGGGGATTAGATATTATGGGTTTAAAGTTTAAATTTTGAGTTTGATAACCAAATCCTAGATAATTAAACCAGAGATGTAGATCGTAGATATATCAGTTGTGTCTGTTCTCAACTAAAGTATTTGCTGAATAAGATTGAAGTTATACCAGTTGTGTCTGTTGTCAAATAAGGTATCTGTTGAATAAGATTGAAGTTATACCAGTTGTGTCTGTTCTCAACTAAGGTATTTGCTGAATGAGATTGAAGTTATACCAGTTGTGTCTATTCTCAACTAAGGTATAAGATCAAAGTTTTAACAATTGTGTCTGGTCTCAACCAAGATATTTGCTGAATAAGACCGAAGTTATACCAGTTGTGTCTATTCTCTACTAGGGTATAAGATCAAAGTTTTACCAGTTATTTCTGTTCTCAACCAAGCTATTTGTTGAATAAGACCGAAGTTATACCAGTTGTGTCTGTTCTTAACTAAGGTATAAGATCGAAGTTTTACTGGTTGCGTCTGTTCTCAACCAAGGTGTTTGTTGAATATGCTTTTAAGGTTAGAAGATTAAAACCAAAGTTTCGCCGATGATGCCCATTGTGTCTGTTCTCAAGCAAGGCTCGATAACCAAATGAAGAATTGAACTCCCAAGTTTCACTGATGATGTCGGTTGTGTCTGTCATCAACCAAGACTCGATCAACATAAAGAATTGAACCCCAAATTCCCTGATGGTGTCGATTGTGTTGCCCTTAACCATTACTATCCACATGAAGAAATAAACCCCAAATTCATGATGATGTCAGTTATGTCATCCTTAACTATGACTATCAACATGAAGAAATAAACCTCAAAATTCACTGATGATGTCAGTTGTGTCGTCCTAAACCATGACTATCATAATGAAGAAATAAACCCCAAATTGATGATGATGTCGGTTCTGTTGTCCTCAACCATGAATATCAACATGAAGAAAATAGACCCCAAATTCATCGATGATATCGATTGTGTCGTCTTCAACCATGACTATCAACATGAAGAAATAAACCCCAAATTCATTGATAATGTTAGTTGTGTCGTCCTCAACCATGACTATTAACATGAAGAAATAAACCCCAAAATCATGATGATGTTGGTTATGTCATCCTCAACCATGACTATCAACATGAAGAAATAAACCCCAAAATCACGATGATGTCGGTTGTGTCATCCTCAACCTTGACTATTAACATGAAGAAATAAACCCCAAATTCACTGATGATGTCATTTGTGTCGCCCTCAACCATGACTATTAACATGAAGAAATAAACTCAAAAATTCATCGATGATGTCGGTTGTGCCAGCCCTCAACCACGACTATCAACATGAAAAAAATAAACCCCAGACTGCTCTAAAGTTTAAACTATATAGTTCTCACAGATAAGCTTGCTAATGATGAACCCCAATAAAATTTGAATTTTTGAAAGATGTCATTCATGATGTATATGCATAATGTGAGGATTTTAATGGGAAATCTACTGCCGAGATATTCAAGGAATCTACTGCCAAGATTCAATTGAATTACCTTTTGCCAAGGTTTTTTGGATAATCAAACGCCGAGATTAACTGGGAGAATCTACTGTCAAGATTCAATTGTGAGCTACCTTCTGCCGAGGTCTTCTGGATAATCAACTGCCATGATCAGCCAGGGGAATCTACTGCTGAGATTCAATTGTGAGCTACCTTCTTCTGAGGTCTTATGGATAATCAACTATCGTGATTAACCATGGGAATCTACTGTTGAGATTCAACTGTGAGCTACCTTATGTCGAGGTCTTCTGGATAATCAATTACAGTGATCAACCAGGGGAATCTACTGCCGAGATTTAATTATGAGCTACCTTTTGTCGAGGTCTTCTGGATAATCAACTTCCATGATCAACCAGGGGAATCTACTGACAAGATTCGATTGTGAACTACCTTCTTCCGAGGTCTTCTAGATAATCAACTGTCATGATCAACCAGGGGAATCTACTGTCGAGATTCATTTGTGAGCTACCTACTGTCGAGGTCTTCTGGATAATCATCTACCGAGATTAACCAGGGGAATCTACTACCAATTTTAGATTGTGAATTACCTTATGTCGAGGTCTTCCGGATGATTAACTGGCGTGATCAACCAGAGGAATCTACTGCCGAGATTCGTTTGTGAGCTACCTTCTTCCGTGGTCTTCTGGATAATCATCTTCCGAGATTAACCAGGGGAATCTACTGTTGAGATTCGATTGTGAACTACCTTTTACTGAGGTCTTCCGGATAATCAACTGACGCGATCAACCATGGGAATCTACTGCCGAGATTCATTTGTGAGCTACCTTATGTTGAGGTCTTCTGGATAATTATCTAACGAGATTAACCAGGAGAATCTACTACCAAGATTTGATTGTGAATTACCTTATGTCGAGGTCTTCTGGATAATCAACTGCTGTGATCAACTAGAGGAATCTACGGTTGAGATTTGTTTATGGAATTGATAACTTGATCGACAATGATGATTGTCTTCACATGAAACATGATTTATGCTATGCATGCATATTTGATTGATGCATTAAATGTAATGATTGATTGACGCATGTAA